AACTAGAAAAGTGTTACAGCATTTAGGAGAGCTAGGAGTCCATAATAGATTGGTGGGAACAGGCCCAGGCTCTGCAGCCATCCTGAAGCTGGGCTGACGAGTATAGGGGACAAGAGTAGAGAGTGGCTATGGAATCCTGACTCCCATCAGTCCCCTTCTGCAGCAAGTGATCACCAAGTAGACCACTTTAAGGGACCCTCTTATGGACATACGTGCCCATACACCAGACAGTGTTGGCAACAGTTTAGGGGCGGCTCACACTCAAAGGGAGAAATTATTCACCGTTATAACGTAATCAGTAGGCAATCAGTCATCAGTAATATGGAGAGAATTGGCACGGCAGACCACTGTGACCGGCAAGCAATGCTCTGAACAGCACTCTGGAGGGTCTGTGCTTTGTATGTTCTCTAAGGACAGCATCTTGCAAAGGCACAGAGCACATTCCTTAATCCTCACCACGGTCCAGGGAAGCAGATATCACTGCCGCCTCCACATCATGTATCAGGTATTTTGTAGGTATGTGAGGTTTCACAGACTCAGGATTTTGACTGCTTTTAGGAAAGCCCCAGCTATGTTTTTTGAGGACAGCCCACAAAAAACTGCAGTTCCCTAGAGTTCTGAACCAGGTCTAGTTGACTCGTGTCTTGACTTCAGCAATCAAGACACAAGGAGACGTCCCAAAGATGGAGGAGAAATTGCACCCTCTAAACTCTTGCCAGGTAAGGCAATCTGTGTTTGGGTCGCAGGCCCATAATTATGTAGATTTCACATATACATCTCTTTCAGATATGCATAAACTGGGGGAGTGGTGTGGCGTGTTGTGGAACTAAATGTATTTGTATGTGTTCAACATACTGTATAATTGGCTCAATTATCCACGTGGTGGATTATTCACTTTTAATTTGCAATCTGGCTTCTCTCAGTTACAGTGTTGTTGGGCTGCTCAGGAATGCCAACCAATTTAAATAATAATTTAAGCGAAACATAATTAGAAGGAAAATTAAATTCGTTCTTTTGCCAGCTCCTGCCAACAGTCTACTATGGAAATGTAACTCTGCCCCATGCGCTGCCTTTCCCCCCTCACAGGATCTGATTGCTACGATTACCGCAGTCACTTCCTGGAGAGTTTTCCCCTTTATCTCTTCCAATCAGACCATCATCTGACCATAATCCTAAAAACAAACAAACGCTCAAACCCCTAACATTTAATGGCTACCCATTTTTCTACAGAGAAGTGCATAGGCCAAAGCCCCCCCCCCCCCCATCCAAGCTGCTTTTAGCTCTGCTTCCAGACTGTCTCTGACAGACCAATCAAATCGTTCTAATCCTCAGCCTTTGCTCACTGTCTTCTGCTGGAACACCCTTCCTCACCTCTGCAGGTTCAGGAAGCTTTTTCTTATTTTCCAGCCCTACTCTGCTACACCCAACCCTTTAACCCACTCCTATTTTTTCTAAGGCAGATAAAGGTTTTACTGAAAATGTATGTGCTCCTTACTCTCTTGTGAGAAACTTTATACACTTCGCGGTGATCTTTCTTCTGTGCTATGCTATGCTATGCTATGCTGGGCCCCCAAAGACAGTCCCAACAAATACTTTTCCGTTTTAACTGCTGACAAAACTTATTTTGTCTGTTTGAATCTCCAGTGCCTACCTCAATGCTAGGTACTCAAGGAATCTACTGTAGGAGAAATCGAACCAACATGTCCAAGGCCAGAGCTGGTGTCCTGCAAAGGACTCTGGGGATGCAGGCACAGGAGGGGTCAATAGCATAGAGTTGGTAGCATAAACTTCTTCTGACAGGGGATTCTCCTTGGCCCATTTCTCTATCGGTAGACGCCTCAAAGCTTGCTTAAATCCTCCACTAAGTCTAAAAAAAAAAAAAAAGGAAATGCTACATATACTATGACTGTGTATGCACAGCAATGAATACACGTGCATAAAACGCACACATAAACACATACGCCTAGCCAGGGATGCAGATATATAAATAAACATAAATATACATGTACAGCCAGGATTCCGAAACGATCAGAATGACAGAAATGACCATGATCTTCCTCTTCCTTTCGGGACCACACACAAGCCTCCCGAAGTCCTGCTCGCTGCAGCTCTTTAGCGCAAATTCCCCGGCGGCACGACTTGGCCCTTCCGGGCTTCCGTCAGGCTGGCCGTCATTGGCTGGATTGTGCACAGCTGACAGTCGCGCGGGCGAGGAAGCTTTGAGGATGGCGGCGTCCGCGGCGGTGATTTTGCCGGAGAGTCCCAGGTAGCGGTCAGGCTGAGCGCCCCGCCTCGCGGGGGTAACCTGTTGGGGCGGGAGCAGGGGGTGCAGCCGCCGCCTGCTGCTGCGGTGCGGTCGACCGCGGTCGGGGAGCCGGAGCCGGAGCCGGAGTGGAGCTGCGAGGATAGGGGCGCGGAGGAGGGCGTGGGCGGGGCGAGGGAGGGGTGGGCGGGCGGTGGGGGGAGATCGTGGGCGGGGCGAGGAGGGTGGGCGGGGGCGTGGAAGAGGGTGGTGGGCGGGCGGGGAGAGAGGCGTGGGAGCAGCATGCTTCCATTCTGGAGTGGTTATTGCTCCAAGTTTGCAGCCTTGGCTGCCTTGTTCTGTACCGGAGAGACTGACGGGTAGTAGAAGTCACTAGATGCCCCCTGAATTTTGTCTAGTTTCTTGGGAGAATAGTCTGTATTTTTAATGTTATTTCAGACCCGATGATGGTGACAAAGGCTCACGCTGTGATTAACAAATAACATACGTTAATAGCCCCGTGAAAGCAAGGTCAGATAGCTCAGGCATTAGTGTCATATTTAGCCAGTCTTGGCACCATTACTAGTGTTTTCATTTTATGTACTTTTTAGGTTTCTCGGTGTGTTACCTGAGACTGGCTGGCTCTGGTGGTGATGCAAACCCCAGTTTAAAAGATTTTCGTTGGCCGAGTGATTCTTACTATGTTGCCAAGACTGGCCTCAAACTCGTGGACCCAAGATCCGCGCAGTCTTCCCCTCCCAACAAGCTGGCACTGTTTAGCCACCCCACCATACCCTGCTCAGATTCCCCCCATTAAAACAGAATTATTTCCGCCAAACCCGACTCAATTTGTGGAGGCAGAAGAAACACTCATTTATGCAGGCAAATATCGAAGGGTGAACACAACGCTTCCCCCATTGGGAAGAAGACAGTCGGTATTTTAAAGTTTTTCCTTCTGTGAGAGGATCTGAAAAGCCACTTTTCTTCAAACTCTTGTCCTGGGGGAACACAACGCTGTGCAGGCATAGTCGGTGTGTGCGCAGCTGTGCTTACCACACAATTTGAAATTGGTTATTACAGGTGACACGGGTTTTAAAGTAGCTGCACGTGTGTTGTCTTTACTCTTCCCCCACCGTTATGCGCCATCATTATCCTTTATGGTTTTGGTGTAATCCCCTAATTTGCTTCATCCTTTTTCACAGTCCTTTCAGAGTTTATTTTGGATTAAGTGGTAGCATTCCTTCCCATTGCTCAATTACAACCGTTCCCTGACAGGGTGTGTACCTTCCCAAGCAATTTGCCTGGGAAGAGAAAATTGTCAAATGTACTTTTCAACAGGAATGCTTTTGGGGAGAGGGCTCTTTTTGGAAATACTTGGATTGATTACCTGGCTGTCACTCATGTCACTTTATTTCACTAAGAGGACGCAGCTACCAGGGTTGTTGACATAAAAATGTATAGACAGTAACGGCAAATACACTTAAAAGCTTACTTTGAAACTTTGTTTGCAAATTTGTTTAGCATGAAGAAAGCGGTGCCGCTGATAAACGCAATAGATACTGGAAGATTCCCGCGCCTTCTTAGCCGAATTCTTCAAAAGCTCCACCTGAAGGTTTGCATTTCGGTATTCCTGTGGCTTGTGACCCCTCTGGTGACCCGAAGCATGCTGCTATTATTTGGAGAACTGTGAGAAACATTGTTCTCTAGTGTGTTCTCGGGATCTGTGGAAGATTCGATAATGTTCTCTGGTCAAGTTTGGGAAACTTTGTATTCCATATTAACTTTTAAAAAGTGGAGCCTTGCCGAGCGGTGGTGATGCACGCCTTTAATCCAAGCACTCGGGAGGCAGAGACAGGGGGATCTCTGTGAGTTCGAGGCCAGCCTGGTCTACAGGAGCCAGTTCCAGGACAGGAACCAAAAAGCTACGGAGAAACCCTGTCTCGAAAACCAAAAAAAAAAAAACCCAAAAAACAAAAAAACAAAGCTGAGCCATACTGTTGTTTGGTCATATGTTAAGGACGAAGGCTTGACTTTGGAATTGTTTTATCTTTTATATAATGTTCTACGGAACACGCTCTAGGAAAAGGCTGATGGCATTCTTCCTGGTGAAGATGGTTAGCCCAGGGCTGGAGAGATGGCTCAGTGGTCAAGAGCACGAACTGTTCTTGCAGAGGATTTATGTTTGGTCCCTAGCACCCACTTAGTGGCTCATAGCCACCTGTAACTCCTCTTCCAGGGATTTGATGCCTTCTTCTGGCTTTCTTGGGCTCCTGCATGCATATGGTGCGTATAAAGTCATGCAGGTAGCATGGATACATATACAATAATAAATTAAAAATAACTCAGTCAGTGTTTCTTCACCATCCACACATAAACAAATAATCAATAAATCTTAGAAATAATTCAGTCAGTATTTCTTCTAACTGTAGGTGGAGTTTTTGTCAGGACTGTCAGACTGTTCTGTCTCATCAGCTGGCTTCCAAATAACCACAAAGAAGCTTAATTTTAGTTATAAATACTCAACTGATAGCTCTGGCTGGTTACTAGCTCTTATATTATAATTAATTCATATCTCTTATCTACCCTATGCCACGTGACTGTACCTTCTTTCAACATGGCATGCTCATCTTGCTTCTCTCTGTACCTCTTAAGACTCTTCAAGACTCCGCCTTCTTCTTTCCAGCATTCTCTCTGTCCCGAAAATCCCGCCTAGCTATCAGCCAATCAACCTTTTATTAACAATGAGATCAACACATTTTTACAGTGTGCAGCAGGACTATTCCACAGCATCTCACACAGTATTTAATCTTTGATTTTTCTCTTTGCTTTTATTTCAAGGGCACAGTTGGTTTGGCCATGTGGATGTTTGGTAACCAGTTCAACTCATGTTTTTTATTGGGCATGTTCGTGGAGCACCTGCTACACGCTCTGCGTGATTGTAGGTACCAACATTAAGTTATATCAAGACTCTTAACTTTCTTTTCTTTATTGGCCAGGAGACAACCTGAATTGTTCTCAAATCAAATTCTCCACATAGTTTATTTTAGATCCTTATTGTTTCCTAGCTTTGGACTAGTATCTGTTACTCATAATATTCTTGATTTTGATCTATTTTTTTTTTAATACTTATGAGTGCTTCTCCTCTGGAGATAGAGGTGGTTGTGAACCACTTTATGTGGGTGCTGGGGACTGAACACGGATCTTCTGCAAGAGCAGCAAGCTCTCTTATCCACTGAGCCATTTTTCTAGCTCATGATTGATTCCTAATAATACTATTTCAGTAATGTTTATAAATGTTTTTCTCTTTTAAAAATGTTGACCATATTTAACAGCATTTAAAAACGTCAGTGGCTGTCCCTTACCAGACGGAGAAAACTCCAAACCCCTCAACATTGCGTGTGAGATCCATTAGCGTATGGCGGTGGCCTGTGCTCTCAACACTGCGTGTGAGATCCATTAGCGTACGGCGGTGGCCTGTGCTCTCCCTGCTTTGCACCTGCAATCACCCTGGACAGTGCACAGTCCCTGCAGTGTTCTAGGGCCTTTCAACCATGTATTGTGTACACATCCCTCTCCCTACGTCCCAGTGTCCTTGTTCCCTGCTTCACCGAGAGAACATCACCCTTTAAGAATTTTGCAAATCTCATTCTCAAGCACGATGGTATTCTCTTCTCTCTGCTTCCAGAATAATCGGTTGATTCTCAGTTCACCGTAGTAGTGTGTTGCAAGCACTTGTTTCTCAGAAGACACCCAAATCCCTAAACTTCTTCACCAGTCTTTCTACCTATAGCCTCTAGAGTCTTTTCTTCCCTTACCTATATAGCTCCCTTCCCCAATACATTACTCATTACACAGTTGGCACTCAGTGTATGCATTTGGAGTTAATTCTTTTCTTTCTCATGAGAAATGGAACGCTAGCCTAGGAGCTCTAAGTTCATGCCTGTAGTAGATTTGTGCTGTAGGTGGTGAGACAGGCAGAATCACAGTCTGTAGTGTGCCTCATCTTGCACGCCAGCACTTCTGCATTGGGATGAGCTGAGGGAAGTCACACAAGCTTCTGTAGCTGAGAACTCACAGTCATTTGTGGCCTGTCATCTTAATTAGTAGTTACCACTCATCTGACAAAAAACCCTCCGTGTTAGACCCTGTAGCAGAGAATTTAGGTCCCCACGTGAAACCTGTTGATGTCACTGCTGTGGGCTTCGCTCTGCGGAGCCAGCTGTCAGGGTGCCTGACCAGGCACGCTAGAAACATCCAGACTAGTGAAGGTGAAGTGGGGGACCGAGGTGCTGCTGTGATGGGGGGCAGCAGTCTCACGTAGTGACTGCTAGTGAGATGAAGTGAGAGAATTAAGAAAACCAGATATCAGAGACAAAGCACTGATGTCTGAGGTGGCCTAACATTTAAGCAGAAAAGCCATCCTTTTCTCAGCTCAGGTTTCCGGCCATCAGTCACATCACCACGGAAAGTGTGTTTCATTCCACTCACTGTGGTTCAGAACGCGTGTCTTAATTTAGATTATAAGCACGCCAGTTTGCTTTTGCCGTGGACTTACTTTCCTCTTAGGTTCCCTTTTCCTGTATAAGTGAGTCTTGTGAACGCACTCTGGGCTGACTGCTTCTGTGTTTGTAGGCCGAGAGCAGCTTCAGTGAAGAAGAGGAGGAGAAACTTCAGGCTGCGTTCTCTCTAGAGAAACAAGAACTGCATCTGATTCTGGAAACAATAGCGTTTGTTTTGGAGCAGGTATTTTTATTGCCTTAATTTCCTACTTATTGCATATTTTCATGACTTTAATATCTGTGGCTTTCTATATTTTTATGTAGTATTTTATTCTGCAAAAGTAAATATGATATAGTAGTAGTAAATATTATAGCAATGCGAATTGGGCCTTCGTCTGATTTTAACTCATTGTTTCTTGGTATAGTTGGAAATATGAATACTTTCCGTTGTAGAAGTTGAACAGGTGATTTGCTGGCATGCATTTGATTAGGAGGATACAGGAAAGAAATGATGTTGCTTTTTTTTTTTAACTGCTGAATTTCCTTTCTGTACCTTTTCTTCTCAAACTAATCTCATTATTTTCCTTCCTGTTCAAGTTCTGTCACTTCAGTCTGGATCGCGTAGTCTGGTCACTGTCCTTTGTGTTTCTTTGCCCCTTACAGCAGGGCTCATGTTAGTCTTCCATTGCTTCACATGGGTCAGTTTGGATTCTGTCCACAGATTTGACTATATTACGGGCAAGAATCTTATCTTCTGCACCTCTTTTATAAGCCTAGCACACAGCTGAACTTAACGTAGAGTTTTAATAAATTCCTATCAGTTTATTAGATAGGATATTTGTGAAATAAAAGATCCAGCAGTACTGCACATTGTCGGCAGCAGACACTCTTAGGACACGCTGTCAGGCAGCTGGCGCCACCCGAAGGAGGCGATAGATGGTATGTTGTCAGGGGAAACATCTGAGGAAACAGCTTTAGGAAGGTGTACAGTTCGAGCCAGTGAGTAGGGAGAAGACGTGGTGATGTTTCCATGGACATTCCTGTCCATGGAGTTAGGAAGGTAAGGTATAGTACTCGTAGTTTCTGAAGATCAGGAAGTGTGGAGCCTGCCCTGCAGCTGGAGCTGGGCTCTAACCCGTATGACCCGCTCTCCAGTGGCACAGTAAGGGCCCCCGTCCTAAAGGTTCACAGTCTCCCAAAACAGACACCAGCTAGCCACCCAGCCTTTAAATACACCAGCCTGTGAGGAAGCCTTCAGACTGAAGCTGTAACGGTCCATCCTTTGCCTCCATATACTCATCATATCTCATACAGAAATAAGAATTAAGTCCAAATCCAAACATCCCTGTAGTGGTTCAGGAAAATGGCCTTCAAAGGGAGCGGCACTGTTAGGAGATGTTAGGAGAAGTAGGTGTGGTCTTGTTGGAGAAAGTACGTCACTGTGGAGGCGGGCTTTGAGGGCTCATATATGCTCAAGGCATGCCCAGTGAGACAGTTTACTTCCTGTTTGTTGTAGAATATTGTTTTAAGGTGAGTCACTTTGGTTTACGCGCTGGAACATTTGTTTAATGATGCAAAGATGTGTTTGATTAAATAAAATTCACCTGCAGTCAGGAGGCTGCGTCAGCAAGTGGCCAACTGGAAGTTGTAGGGAGAGCCAGGGTTTTAAGTAGGGTTGAGGAGAAGAATGAGGGCTTCTTGAGAGACTGAGGAGGTGAGCTACTTGCTATTCAGCCTCTGTGAGGCATAGAATTCCACCTCAACCTTTGACTCTCGATTTCTGTAGAGGGACAGAGATTTAGATAAATTCCCTTTGTAGCTTTGAAAGAGTCAGTGCCTGAGGGAGTTCTGTTCCCTCAGGCTGCAGCTTTTGCAGCAGAACTGCTGGTAGCTGTGGAGTTGCAGTTGCTGATAGGACAGCTGTCGCTTAAAAGGCAGCAACAGTGTAAAGAAAAGGACAACACCTGTTGCCTTTGGCTCAAGGTGTAGAATTCTCCAGCATTGTGTCTACTTGGATGCTGCCGTACTCCCAGCTGCCATGCTCCCCGCCATGGAGATAGTCAACTAAACCTCTGAAACCCTTTGTAAGTTTCCCTTTGTAATGTTTCCCTTTGTAAGAGTTGCTGTGGTCATGGCATTTCTTCACAGCAATAGAAACCCTAACTAAGACAATCCCCATAGTCTTAAGTTAAAGCTCTTTAAAGGTCCTAAGATCAAAGTCCCTTCTGAAACTCAGAGCAGGCTCTTAGCTCTGAGAACTTGTTAAACAAGCACCAAGTTACGTATTTTTAATGTTCAGTAATGCAGGGTAATGATTCCTATTTTAAAGAGGAGGACTGGAAAGTCTGGACCCAAACAAGACTGCCACACATCGGAAACACCAAGCTCTGCAGTTCCATGTCTAGTGTCTGGAGCTCACAGTGGCATCATTTGGGTTCCAGTGGACTTAGGCAGCCCCATATCCACATCTCTGCTTCCTGCGGCACATATGGGCCTCTATCCTGACCCCGCTTCACTTGGCACCTGCAGCTTTCCTCCGTGGATGCCACCTCAGGTTCATCGTCATCATCATGTACAGCCTAGTCAGGCCCTCCATACAGGGAGTCTCACCCCGTTACACCTTGTCTGACCTCTGCGAATGTCCACAGTGGTGTAACTCCTGCATTCTGCATACCCGCAGAGCCAGTACCGTGTGGGGGCTGCTGCCAGTTTCTGCCACAAGGACTGAACTGTAGCTTAGCGTCCATTTACCATAGCTGCAGCATCTTTTGTGTGAGAGACCACTCCCCCAGGCAACCGTGTTCCAGCTGTGTGCTCTGGAGTGGTCTCTGTTTAGGCACTGTGCGATTTTTTCAATTTTATGCCCTAGAGCCTTCAGTGGGCCACATCTTGTTCCCAGGACATCGTTCCTGTCGACCCAGTGCAAAGTGTGCAGGACCAGGGTTCTCCTTAATCATTAGTCTCTAGCAATCAGAGCCACTGTGTCTGCATCCATCGTGCCTGTCCTGTCCTTAATTCTGGTTGTGTTCCATCTTCTTTTTTTCTGTGTTTTCTCTCTCTACTTCTTCTTATAAAACCTGGCTAAGGGCAGTGAGCAGTAACCATGTCACAGACTGTATACTGCCTTGAAATTTCCTTCGTCAAGCATATTAATCAATTATTCTTGTTTTACTTTCTGTTTATGGGTGTTTTGTCTGCATATATTTCTGTGCACCGTGTGCATGTCTCGTGCCCTCAGAGGCCAGAAGAGAGTGTGAAACTGGAGTTGCAGACAGTTGTGAGCTGCCACAGGGTGCTGGGAACTGAGCCCACATCTTCTGGAAGAGCAGTTAGTGCTCTTAAATTGCTGGGCCCTCTCTTCAGCTCCAGCCCATTATTTTTTAATGTAGCCTCACTCAGATTTTAGGACACAGGTGGAATGTACCCACATGGCTCGTCAGGAAGTAACATGAATGGCTTGGATTCTGCTTCTGATAGAGTCCTTGTTCGTCTCTGAAACCTCTTGAGCATGCCGTTCCTGTCGGCATTTCTCTCAGAATCAACCTTACGTTCTCCCTGCAGTGTTCTGGATCTTTCCTAGCCAGTGACTAAACTCTTTCACCTATATTCTTCCCATACACCGATGACAAAGGTCTGCCAATCCCACGGTCAGGCTTATCACAGCAACAGCCCCACTCCTTATACTACCTTCCTCTCTTGTTTGTTAGATATCTGAAGATTTATTTTGGTTGATGGTGTTTCAGGGAATATAATCCATTTGGGAAATCATCGAGGTGGGAGCCCCTTGTGGCTGGGGCAATGAGAACACCTGTTAAAAGGTTCTGTGTCTTCCAAAGAGAATGCCGCTAGCTGACACCAAGTACTCAGGCGCCTGAACCTGTGAGGGACACTTCATGTTCAAACCTGAGCGTGGATTATAATGATGACTGGTTCTTAAGCTCTGGTGAACCTTCAGTAGAAAAAGGATAAACAGAACATCACAGGTTGGGTTTTGTGGGAAAGTTGTCCTCAGTTAATGTAAGAACAGAACAGGTATTGTTGGAGTTATTTTAGAATTTCCTTTTGTTATGTAAAACTTTGGTTGGTAGATAAAGGTAGTTTTGAGGACTCCTTGGGAAAAGTCGGTTTGCAGAGACCTGAAACTGAGGCCAGCCTGATCTACACGGTGAGTTCCAGGATAGCCAGGGCTACATAGAAAGAGATCTTGTCTCAGTGTGCCCCCCCCCCAAAAAAAAAGCTAGTGGAGGCTCTAAGTGGGGCAGGAGAGACTGCTCACAGTTAAGAACACTTTAATTATGTGAAATAAATTACTAAGTAATTTTAGTATTATTTAACCACAAGCAAAACGAAACATTTAGCCTGAGCGAGTTAGGCTTATTAACTATGATTTTTAGCTCATGTTTTGTATATTGTTACTAATAGAACTGTTGAAAATGCCTGCAAGAGGGCCATGGAGTCTATTTGATTTAAACTGTTTTAGTGCGGGGGACTGGATAGATGGCTCAGCAGTTAAGAGCACTTACTGCTTTTGCAGGGAACCCAAATTCAGTTTCCAGCATTAGCACCATAGGTACAGCTCCAGTGATCCAGTGCCTTTTGCTGCCACAGGCTGTGAACTTAGGCATGTGCACGCGCACGCGCGCGCGCGCACACACACACACACACACACACACACACATGGAATATTTAATTTGTTTTAAATACTTCTGTATTGCTAACCGCTCAAGGTCTTTGCATGAGCCTGAGGATGTCTGTACCTCCTCCTCTTTGACAGGCAGTGTACCACAACTTGAAACCAGCAGCACTTCAGCAGCAACTGGAGAATATTCATCTTACACAAGACAAAGCAGAAGCCTTTGCCAACGCTTGGTCGACTATGGGTCCAGAAACGGTTGAAAAGTTCAGGCAGAGGATTCTGGGTCCTCACAAGGTACAGGGCATTCTGTCAAAACAAAAATTATAACAGCTAGTCTTAAAAATGATAATATTTTGGTAAGAGATAAAGTAAGGCAGAAAGACAAGTCAGATATTCCTGTTTAAGTTTTTCTACATATTAGAAGATTTGTTGCCATATTATTTAATTTTGGATGTATAAAATATGCCTCCATAATTTAAGAATAGGAATGAGATTGTCTCCTTATACCCTCTGACAGTGATTCCCTGCCTTCTCATGTGAGGCTTGTTTTTAACATTTACTGAGTCTAATTCTTTCTTGTCTTTTGTGCGTCTGCATTAGTGCTGAAAAGAACCCCTTGCATGCTGTAGGTGCTGACTTAGCATCTGTCAGCTCCTATAGCCCAAGCACTAGGAGAGCTGTAAAGTTAGCGGTATCACAGGCGCCCCTCAAGCCTAACCTCACAGGGGTGGGCATGATTGGGCAGATTTTACCTTTTCCTACTCATACTTTTGTATTGCACTAATCTTCTGAAATGGAAACACTTTTGTGCTCCTGAGCTAAATCTCATGTGTCATCTTTTGAATATGCTGCTGGTTTGATTTGCTGATATGTTGCTAAAGATTTTTTTCCACCTATTTATTGTACATTGGAGCGTACAATGTACGCTCTGCCGTTCAGGAGCGTCTGTGAAGGAATAGCGTTGTTCTGCATCACTAGGAACGCACTGGGATCAGCCGTTCCAAACTCTTTTCAGCACTCAGTACTGCCAGTTGCTTTTCTGTTTGTCTTTTTCTTAAAAGCATTGCATTAGGTTTGTGGTGTTATCTTGTGTTTTTAAAACACAGCTTTGGTAGCTTTTTATGCACTTGGCGTGCTTATGTATTCTGTAGTAAGGTGTCTGCTTAAACATACCCCATACTTGGGAAGACAGAGATACAAATCTCATTGTATTCCAGGCACAAACCTTGTTATATGTAGGCATACATCCTATAGAAATGCATTTTCTCAGTTTTAACGTATGGAGATGCTTGCCTGCCTTCCCTTCACTTGGAACTGGAATTCCAGTTGAAGTTCCAATTGCAGATCTCTGTGACATCTGTGATTGGACAGTGTTTCTGTCAGTCTGTAGTTCTTTCTTTTTTTTTTTTCATAGTAGTGTGTCCCACACAGCCAAAGCTTTAATTATGTTGAATCTCCATGTATCGCTGGGGATGTTCTTGACTCCATGATCAGTTTTGTGCCAGAGAACTTATAGACGGATCCAGTTTTATAGTTGTTTCCTCTTTTGTTCCTTGTTCAATGTTTTATACAGTGTTGATGTAAGTCTGAGATCCATTTTGAGCTACTCTTGGTTAAGGTTCCAGGCATAGATCAAAGTTCATGTCTGCAGTCAGCATTATTACAATAGTGTTATGGACATTGTCCTTTTGTCTCCAAATTGCTTCTGCCCTCTGTCAAATTAGTTCGTGTATTTGTCTAAGTCTTTTTCTAAATTCTCTGATTCCTCTGGTCTATTTGTCTGTCCTTGTCAGTGTATCCCTCTGCCTTAATTGTCAGAGGGCCAAGCGTGGTGGTGTACACCTGTAATCACAGCACTCAGGAGGCAGAGGCAGGGGGATCTCTGAAACTGAGGCCAGCCTGATCTACACGGTGAGTTCCAGGATAGCCAGGGCTACATAGAAAGAGATCTTGTCTCAGTGTGCCCCCCCTCCAAAAAAAAGCTAGTGGAGGCTCTAAGTGGGGCGGGAGAGACTGCTCACAGTTAAGAACGCTTGCTGCCCTTTCAAAGGACCCATGTCGGGTGGCTCACAGAAACCTGTAACTCTAGCTCCCTGGGATCAGATCCCTATGCAGTCCTACGCAGGCCCCTTCATACATGTGGCACTTGTGTGTGCACATACACAATTAAAAAATAGTCTGAGACCAATGGCTTTGTTCTCATTTTCATATTTTTTGAGGTATTCTGGTTTCTTGCTCTTACATATAAATTTGAAAAATCAGCTTTTAGTCTCTACAAACAACCCTGCTATATATTTACTAGGATTGTATTTGATTTAATGGTGAATTTTTTTTTTGTGTGTTTTTTTTTTTGAGACAGGGTTTCTCTGTGGCTTTGGAGCCTGTCCTGGAACTAGCTCTGTAGACCAGGCTGGTCTCGAACTCACAGAGATCCGCCTGCCTCTGCCTCCCGAGTGCTGGGATTAAAGGCGTGCGCCAACACCGCCCGGCTTTAATGGTGAATTTGTAGAGGAATAATTTTTTTATTTCTTTTGTCAGTGTTCTTTATTTTTAATACAGATCCTATGCATATTTTGTTATTTTTTTAGTGCAGTATTTTCTTCTGTTTTTTGTTTTTAATATTTATTTATTTATTATGTATACAATATTCTGTCTGCATGTATGTCTGCAGGCCAGAGGAGGGCACCAGACCTCATTACAGATGGTTGTGAGCCACCATGTGGTTGCTGGGAATTGAACTCAGGACCTTTGGAAGAGCAGGCAATGCTCTTAGCCACTGAGCCATCTCTCCAGCCCCTTTTCTTCTGTTTTTAAAGCTGTTATAAATGATGCTATTTTTGGAATGTTGGTTTCCATTGTTTATGATTAGATCCTGGAAATAGAAATCAGTTAACTCTTTAAAAATACTGTTTTTGTGACAGTGGAGATTGAACCCAAGGATTGCTAGCAAGCTTTGTATGCCTTTACTTTCCGATCTGTATTGACCTGCCCTGTGACTTTGGTAGTTCACTAATTAGGGATAGAAACTTTAAAAAATAAATGTCTTTCAATTATTTTCAAGTGCATTTTTATGATCATATTTACAATATTGGTGAATCGAGACTTCTCCTCCCCCCAAATCTATCAGTTCCCTGTTGTAGGAGGCTGCTTCTTTGTTTCCAGCTGCTCAGCCCCGAAATAATGACACAGAAACCATATTATTTGCAGTACGTTTGGCCAATAGCTTAAACGTATTTTTGGCAAACTCATATCCTAAACTAACCTATCTCCATTATCAGTGTATTGCCGTGAGGCTATGGCTTACATGGTAAAGCTTCGGTGTCTGTCTCTGGCGGGGCTTCATGGATTCGCCTGACTCTGCCCTCTTTCTCCCAACATTCAGTTTAGTTTTCCCTGCCTAGCTCTGTTCTGCCCTGCTCTGCTATAGTCTCAAAGCAGTTTCTTTATTAACCAATGGAAATCACAGCAAACAGAGGGGAATCCCACACCAGCTCCCCCTTTTTATTTATGTGATGTGATGTGCGTATATGTGTGTGCATATGTGCCTGTGTATGTGTGTGTGCATGCGTGCCTTTGTATGTGTGTGTGTGCATGTGTGCCGGTGTATGTGTGTGTGCATGCGTGCCTGTATATGTGTGTGTTTGCATATGTGCCTATGTGTGTGTGTGCATGCGTGCCTGTGTATGTGTGTGTGTGCATGCGTGCCTGTGTATATGTGTGTGCATGCGTGCCTGTGTATGTGTGTGTGTGCATGCGTGCCTGTGTATGTGTGTGTGCATGCGTGCCTGTCTATGTGTGTGTGCATGCGTGCCTGTATATGTGTGTGTGTATGTGTGCCTGTGTATGTGTGTGTGTGTATGTGTACCTGTGTATGTGTGTGTGTGTATGTGTGTGTGTATGTGTGCCTGTGTATGTGTGTGTGTGTATGTGTGTCTGTGTATGTGTGTGTGCATGTGTGCCTGTGTATGTGTGTGTGTTTGCATAAGTGCCTGTGTATGTGTGTGTGTGCATGCGTGCCTGTGTATGTGTGTGTGTGTGCATGTGTGCCTATGTATGTGTGTGTGTGCATGCGTGCCTGTGTATGTGTGTGTGTTTGCATAAGTGCCTGTGTATGTGTGTGTGTGCATGCGTGCCTGTGTATGTGTGTGTGTTTGCATAAGTGCCTGTGTATGTGTGTGTGTTGGCATATGTGCCTGTGTATGTGTGTGTGCATGCGTGCCTGTGTATGTGTGTGAGTGCTTGCGTGCCTGTGTATGTGTGTGTGTGTATGTGTGCCTGTGTATGTGTGTGTGTGCATGTGTGCCTGTGTATGTGTGTGTGTGTGCATGTGTGCCTGTGTATGTGTGTGTGTGCCTGTGTGCCTGTGTATGTGTGTGTGTGTGCATGTGTGCCTGTGTATGTGTGTGTGTGCATGTGTGCCTGGGTGTGTGTGTGTTTGCCTGTGTGTGTGTATGAGTGAGAGTTTGCATGTGTGTGCAAGTGCTAGAGGTCACGTTGGATATTTTCCTCAGTTCCTCCTTCCCACACTTTGTTTTTTGAGACAGAGTTTCTCTGCAGGACCCAGTGCTCGCTGATTCAACTAGAGTGGGATGGGGCTGGCCAGTGAACTTGTATCAGCTTGTTCCTTTCATCCCAGAGTCCAGGTCACATGGTGCTGGGAATGTGAATCCAAATCTTCAGGTTCACAGAGCAGTTGCTTTACTGACCAAGCCTAAGCCATCTCCCCAGCCCTCCTTTTCCTTAGTTTCTTTTCTTACTTGGTTGCCAGTTTTGGGGATAAAATGCTGTCTTCCACTAAATGTTACCTCTCGATCTCTAGGAAACATTCTGTGTTGTTTGCAAGTTTTCCCTCATGACTCTTTCCTTTGTCCTCGGAGTTTCTGCTCTGCTTCCTATTCTTTCAGCTTGTTTATTTTCCTGCCTCCTGTGCAGATGTCAGTTTTTCATTTTGTTGCCTTGAAGTTCTTTCTTCTTTAAAACATCTCCATTTGGAACCCCTTCTTCATATTCTTCTGGTCTCGCTTGTGTTCTCCTTCTGGGATGAGGGGCTGCTTCCCCAGCGTCTAGCTTGGATCTGCACTGCCTGCCTGTTTGTAGGCTCTAGCCAGGAGGTGGTTCTCAGTGTCTCCTGGACAGCTGCCCCTGGAGACAGTGTTTCTCTTCCCCAGGGAATGGTAAGTTCAGATGCTGCTTGAGAGTCGGAAGCTGACGTGTGAAATATTCAGAGTGGAAAAAAGAAACGTGAGCTGGATGTTGAGGCGCATGTCTGTTATCTCAGCTGCTTGGGAGTCTAAGGGAGAAGAGTCACATGTTTGGTGACCACCAGGACAGTGTAGTAATGTAGCAAAAAACAGTCTCTAAAAAAGTAAAGTTGGAAGACTGGAAGAAAATGGAAAGAATTGATTGTGTTTGTATGTGTACCAAGTGTGTACCTGCTATCAGTAGAGGCCAGGAGACGGTGTTGGATCCCTGGAACATGAGTTGCAGTTGAGTTTGAGCCTTCCTGTAAGTCCATGGCACCGAACCACTGGGCTTCCTCTTCAGTTTCCAAGCTATTTGTTTTTTAAATGACAGAGTGATAATCCACTGTGAATCTATAGCCACAACTTCTTACTCATTCATCCGTTGACGGACACTTAGGTTGTTAATGTGTCTTGGCTGTTGTGGACCGTGCTACAATGGATGTAAGTGTGCAGGTGTCTTTCCAAGAATCTAGTTTCATTGCTTTTGGATATTTACTTGGCCAGGGCTTCCTGAGTCATGGTAGTTCTAGTTTCAGTCTTTTTGCCTTAATTAAATTTGTCTTTGACAGTTTCGTATATGTATATAATGCATAGTGACCACTTTTAGCCCCATCCTCTCCTGGCTCCCCACTGCCCTCAGACGCTCCTGCCTCCTACAGAGCTTGTCCTTATGTCCATACCTGATCAGTTAGTTATGTGAGCCCTTGAGTTTCAGTAGGGCTGTCTGTGTGACCGCAAGCTTGGATCTGTCCACTGTAGGTTGGTGGGTTCAGTAGTAGCTACACAGTTGATTACAGTGATTTCAGTTCCCAGAATCTATCAGTAGCAGTTTTCAGTGTTTTGAGGAACACCTGCTGCTTTCAGTAATTGATGTACCAATTTGCATTTCTGCTGACAGCCTGCAGGGGTCCCTTTCTGTCTATACCCTTCTCAGCTTTTTTTTTTTTAATTTAAAAAATTTATTTTATGTTTATGGGTGCTTTCCCTGCTTGTATGTCTGTGCACTACTTGCTTGTCTGGTACTCGTGTGAGTTCAGAAGAGGGTGTCAGATCCCCTGGGAGTGGAGTTATGGATGGTTGTGGGTGCTGGGAATCCAACTGGTGTCCTCTGGAAGAGCAGCTACTGCTCCTAACCACTGAACTGCCTCTCCAGCTCCTCTTGTTGTCGTCTTGATAAGAGCCTTACTAACATGCAGAGATGACATTCTACTCTGGCTTTGATTGCTGTGTTCCTGATGTGTGACAGTGAGCACCTTTGCCAGGCCTGAAAAATACCTACTCGGGTACTTTATTATTTTTAAATTTTTATGTGTGTGTGTATGTGTGTATGTGTGTGTGTGTGTGTATCTGTATGTGTCTATGTATCTGTGTGTGTATGTGTTTGTGTATCTATGTCTCTGTATCTGTGTGTATGTGTGTGTATCTGTGTGTGTGTCTATGCTCTTTAGTACTGATGCCTGAGTGGCCACATGAGGTGGTTGTGAGCATCCTGATGTGGGGGTTGGAAACCCGACTCGGGTCCTCTGGAAAAGCAGCAAGTGCTCTCCACTGCGAGTCATGTCTCCAGCCCAGCTTTACCCTTGAAAAACTAGATTGCTTTTTTGCTGATCTTTGTTTGGATTCTTTTATTTTTTGAATACTAAACCCTTATCAGATAATATGGTGTGTGGATCTTTTTCCGTTTTGCAGGATGCCTTTTTCTTCTGAGTGCACCTCACTATTCAAGGACTTTAGCAAATCCCATTTGCTGTTTTTATCTGTGACCTTTGCTTTTCGTTCCATATCCTAAAAACCACCAGCCAGAACATTACCAAAGACCTTTTCCTCTGTAGCATTCATTATGCCTAGTATTTCAGTATCTAATTGGTTTAAGATTAATTTTTGAATATGATATAAGGGCCTGGTTGTGTGTTCTTATGCAGAGCCAGTTTCTAGCGCCATTTGACACATAATGCATTTCCCCCTTGTGTGTGCTTGGTGCTCTCGTCAAAGAGAAGTTCAGCAGTAGTTGAAAAGCATAGTGGGAAACACCTCTTTATGTCCTTATTATTTAGTTCTGATAAGTTGGAGAGAGGCCTGAAAAACCCTCATAATAACTTTTTCTGATGCTTGACTGGAAGGAATTTTCAGCTTTGTCTCTTCACTTCTCAGAAGCACAGTCTTAGTCTCTGGAGTCTAAGATGTTACTGCTGCATAGACGACTTTGGTTTTTCCCCGGCAGAGCTGACTGTCGGCAGTGCCTTCCAGACATTTGTCAGAATGCCTGTGTGGGCATGGCATTCACTACTTTACAGACCACAGAACATAAGCATCATTCTTAATTTTGTTCATTCAAGTTTTATTTAGAATCCCTTATTACATTTGAGCCGTATTAAAAGCAAAACCTGTTGTGTCAAGTATTTTTGGAAATCATAACTTTTGTTTTTGAGACTTTTTTTGAGGCACTGTTCCTAAGCTGTGTTTTTGTATTTTGTTTTGAAAATACCTTTTAAAAGCAAGGTAATGAAAAATGTATGGCAGGCTCGCCATTAGCCCTCCTAGAGTGGCTTGCGCATTGATCTCTTGTCTTCAGAGGCACTTTTATATTGGGCAGTTTTTAAGTATAAATGTTTGTTTTGAATGCTTACAGTGTGTTCCGTGTAATTTTCCCCTGGTAAACATAGCTTCCTGTTGTTTGCCTCACCATTTACACACAGACTTACTCAAGGTACAGTCACTTTGTCACATGATGGAATTTCATTACCTTCATTTTTACAAAACCTGTACTTAAAAATATGGATGGCCAAGACATTACTCCCTCAGACAATAATATTTCTAAACATTCAAGTAATTCCCTTTAAGCCTTTACAAGGCTTATTGCATTAAACATGATAGCCAATCATTTATTTTATTTTTAAATACCTGTCTTTGTTTAGAATAATTTTATTTATTCTTTGAGAAATATATATATATATAGAGAATATATATATATATATATATATATAGAGAGAGAGAGAGAGAGAGAGAGAGCACACACATTTTGATCTTAGCTACCCTCTTTCCTCTCCCTTAGTCCCCTAAGATTGCTCCCAATACGGCCTCCTTTCAACTTAATGTCCTTCAATTCTGGGAAAAACAAAACACAAAACAAAGCAACAGCAAAAATTTGTACAGAGTCCAGTTATTGCACCTGTATAGGTATGGGGCCATCCACAGGCAACCGACCAATGGCCACATCCCCAGAGAAAAATGGCTTTTCTTCCTATACTAATCAGCTGCTACCAACAGCTCCTCAGCTAGGGATAGGGCCTTGTGACCCACTTCCTGACCCATGCTGGAGTTTTGCTGGCTGGCTTCTCTATAGGCCTTGTTCAGAAAGCCATGGCATCTCTGTAGGCCTCATGCAGGCAGCCACGGCTTCTCTGTAGGCCAAGCAGCCACGGCATGGTGGGTCACTGAGACAGGTAGGCATGCCATGCAGAGGAAGTGGGTATTTATTTAGTGAGTTTTTCAGGGGAAAGGAAAAGGGGGAGAAGGGAGAAGAGCAGAGAGAGAGAGAGAGAGAGAGAGAGAGAGAGAGAGAGGCAGAGAGAGAGAGAGAGAAACAGAGAAGGGGAAAGGGGAGAAGTTTAGAGAAGGGAGCGAGGCAGAAGCTACCTCTTTGGGGGAGAGGCAGAAAGGAAAGACTCAGGCTGGAAGCAGAAAGAAGATCTGCCTGCCTCAGCAGTGGATGGAGGGTGGGTGGGCGGGGCTTGTCTCTTAAAGGGACAGGACAGACCATTACTTCCCATCTCTTTTTTGTGATAAAAAGGCGGGAGGTTAGGCACAACAGATTAAAGGAATCAGGGAGGCAGATTCTCAAGACTGCTTCCTGCTTATTTGTGGTGTCATCTTATGAGGGCAACCTGAGAAAGCTAGGTGCTAGTCACATCCTGGGGTAGATGGTCTCTTTGTTCCTGTCTGGTGTTTCTGGTATGGAAATGTCTGGTGTCTCTTACAGCTGTTAAAGGTATTGGCAGAACAGAGGACAAAGTTAAGTTTAGGAAAAAGAAGTTTTAGAACCATGGAGTTGAGAGGGGATGTATTCAGCTCCCAGGAACTCACAACAATTCTTAAACAGCAGCATATTTATATCAGAATGACTGTGACAGATATTTTTGCATAATGAAAAGTATCTTTAAGACTACGAAAGGCAGCATGAGAGAGAAATTTGATAACTTGTATTTGTCCTCACACCTTTATAACTTGCAGGTACACACCTTAATAACTTGTATTTGTATTTTACTGAAATTTATTTGGTGAGGTTGTCCTTTTAAACTGACAAAACCTCTCAGCTGTCAAACTGCATCAGAGATCTTTAAGAAGGATAATATTTTACTCGAGTTATTAAAAAATGACAGAGAACTTTCTTGGTTGGTGACACCTAGAGTTACACCTCAGGGTCCTCCATGATCTCTGAGGTACGTACTTTTCTTTTGCTGTTTAGCTCAGGGCCTGCCAGGCTCCGGAAGATCTTTGTGGGCTAAGAAATCTGTAGGAAGACAAGTCCACCTTAACCTGAGCAGCAACGCTGTCGATTCTAGCTATTCTTTCTACTGTCTGGTGATCTTCAGTTTAGATGAAAGGCAGTTTTGCCCAGTGGTCAGCACTTGGCAGTTGAAACAAATTGCAGATGGATGTTGTTTTGTGCCCATTTGTCTTCTGTCTTCTTTGGAGGAAATAGAGTGCTGCTGCTAGGAGCCAACCTGTCTCTTTTTGTTATAAAAAAGTTTTTAATAATTAAATATTTAAATGTCATATTCCCCAGATCTCTGAGCAGTTGAGGGCAATCTATCAGGTACATCTACAGTATAGAATTTGCCTGGAGAACAGGGCCCAAGCTTGACTGTACTGGCTCTCAACCGCTAAAGCAGAGTTGGATTAAACAAAAGTATTTTTATAAGAGACTTAAAAGTACATACAACATGAGACTTATTTTTTTTTGTTGTCTGAAATGAGATGCAATGAACAGACAATTATAACATTTAACAGTAAACATAGGTGCATTTAAGTTATGTATGAACACATACACACAGAGTGAATAGGAATAGGGTGAAGTGGATGCTCTTGGTGGGCCCTACCAAAGGCATGCCACTGCACAAAACACACATGCAAGAGAGTCAGCATCTGCCCACAGCTCCTAGGTAAGGGTGGGGCTTGTGAACCTCTTCCTAAGCTGTACTATGATGTGGCTGGCTTGATCTTCAGGCGACCACAGCTGCTGCCAGTTTGTTAGCATATAAATGCCATTATAGTTAGAAGACACTGTTACTCCAGTCCTTCCTGACATCTTTCTGCCTCCTCCTCTCTGATGGTCCTGGGCTTTAGATGGCATAGGAGATAGATGTCCCATTTGCAACTGAGTACACCTCAGATACTTATCCTCTGCAGTCTGATCACCGTGAGCTTCTGCATTCACCACCGCTGCTGCTCAGAGAAACTTCTCTGATCTGTCAGTAGAAGATAAGAGTCTGGAGAGCAGTTGTTCCGTTGCCAATTTGGGAGAATAATCATGGTAGCTTCACCTGTGGGGCCTGTGAGCTCCTCACTCATGGGTTCTTGGCCAGAATTACCGTACTAGACGTGTTTGGTTTTGTGTAGACAGTGTTAAATCCATTAGAAAGTGGTTGGCTACTCCCATAACATTCATGCCACAGTTGCCGTCATTGGCATATCCTGTCATACTGGTCACTATTGCAGTTCACAGAGGTCACCAGCAGGTTAGACTCTTGGTGTCTTTTTCTCCCCCAGCTAGCAGGGACGAATCTTCCTGGTCAGTACCAATTTTATTTTTCCATGTCCTGTGATCAATGAATGTGCTGTCTTAAGCAATAGGGTCTTAGTGTCAAGTTTTTATGGGAAGTCAAGAGCAGTGACAATGGCCTGTATTCTTTCTGCAATGTTCTGACCAACAACTTGAGGGGAGGTAACCTACACCTGGCCCTGGGCTTTTTATTGGCAGCCTATGGCTTCTGGGATGAGCATCATCCTGTGTGTAGGGTAACTTCAGTTACCTAACAAGTCCTTTTATGCATGTATGTTTCTGTTTCTCTTGAATGGGATCACTGATCACAGAAAGCGAAACCCTGATGCTTTCTGTTAGAGATTTAACCACCCCACACTACAACGACTAGGAAAAGCCAGAAACATGTATGTTTCTTTACTAAATGGTTCCCTTCTAACAGAGTCCTTTTATTTTCTTTAAGAAAAATTCTCCTTGGTTTCTTCCTGCTGCTACTCATTTTTCTTTGCCTTAAAACTGTCATAGAAAAATAGCGTGTCTGATGTTTATAACTCTTGTCTTTAAGAATCTTAATGTAACAAGAACTATTTCTCCATCTCAGGACACCAATAATGACTGTTTTAAACTCTGCTTTATTCTGCTTCCTTTCTGCTACAAGTCCATGAATGGCTTCTGTGTTGCTTCTGATAGAATTCAGTTCTTAGAGTTGCGTATGTGACCCGTGGTGCCCCCTCAGCCCACTGTCTGTCTTGTTGACCTTCACTGCCTAATATCTCTCACCTGGCTCACCCTGAGTCCCTCTGATCTCTTCGCCTCAGAGGCTCTTCTCCTGGATGTCCATATGGCTGGCTCCTTTACTGTCTTCAGATCTGTGTTTAAAGGTGACATTTATCTTAGACCGTCCTAATTGGCAGAGGCTGCTGTTGATGCTTCTCTCATTTTAGAC